GCTCACCAGCTCGAGCCGCCGGGTTACCGATCAGCCGGGTGCTGCGGCTATTCCCAGCTCCGGACGGACTTTAGCTCCAGTGAGGGAGGTCGGGGATTCTTTGCGGGAAGAAGACGGGGGAGTGTAAAGATTGGCGCCCGCGAGTCTGAGATCAGGCTACCCTGGAAGGCGCGGTGCGGCTGCGCAAGAAGATTGTGAGCGCCAAGCTCTCCACTTTGGCCAACAGCGGCGCCCAGAGTCCACACTGGGGAACTGCAGCCCCTGTTTTGGTTTAACTACTTCAGTGTGTTTAACTTGAACAAATTAGGGGATAGCTTTGTATCTTTAATGTTTAAATCGTACTCTTAGAAATGCCTTTATCTTAACTTCTCAGGTTGTTAGGAAAATCGCACAGGTTTAATAGGTAAATACCTGTTGCCGTAATTATTCCCAATCTTTAAATATTCTATTGATAGAAAGATTATACTACAGACTTGACCTCAATCATCTTAGCACAGTAATTTTGCATATTGACTAGCAATACAGAGGATACTTCTTAGCCTTAATTCTTCGTTTCTCATGTTTCCTCCACTTTTCTAGGTACTTAAAAGCTGATTCATTTCCATCCCCCCCCCCAGAGCGCATCATTTTTCTTTGAAATGGTTCATTTTATACTTCTTTCCAAACACATCTTTTTTTCCAAAATACCTTTCATAATTTTCTTGTAGTGATATCTAATTCTGATTTCCATTCGCTCCGGTAATATTCAATCAAGGAAATGATGTAGTCTGAAAAAGAGTTGTCCTATCCTTCTCCTTACACGATTATTTTCCTTGTTTCAAAATATAATGCTATTCTTCAAAGTTGTCAGGAGAATCATTTTGCCTCTCAATACGGAGTCACTGACGTTTATTGCAGTATGGGTTCCTTCCTCTGCACTTACTTGGCCACGAATGATGTCCTCAGAATGGAAGGGAACGGTCCCCAAGAAGTCTATTTGCAACAGCTCACTCAGTTTAATGATGATTTCTCATCTTTGTTTAAAAATATTTCTAAGCATCTAAAAAATCTTTGTTGGGGGCTTTTCTTTTTAAAAATATCCAACAGCCATGTTTTTACCAAAGGATCTTTTCTTATAAAGTGTCATTATCTTCTCACCACGTGATTCTACATCTGAACAGTGCAGAATGTGTGAAAATATGCATACACGATTGCACAGTTGGTTCTATGCAAAATGTCACTAAATACAACACTACGATAGAAACAAATATATATACATATATATATGTGTGTGTGTGTATATATATATATGGTTTTTATCATAGGGCAC